TCAGATCAATCTGAGCTTCAATCTGATTCTGAAGCGATTCTGGAGTGATCGTTTGGTTGAAACCTTCAGAATCAGAACCAGACCGGGGCTTAACCACAAAATTTCTATGGGCTCTTCGGTTGCAATCTGACGCCAGTTTAGAATCTTCAAGATCTGTGCGTATTTTAGTGTTAGTTAAGGCGTAGTTAGTAGTGCTTGATTCTGAGGATTATTTTAATCTGGAACCGAGTCGGTTATTCAGTGGGGGGTTCAGTTGGGACTTAAGATCTGCGCGTTGCTGCTCGGGGGAATGCTTGCGTGTATGCGGAGGGCTTCAAGTTGGAAGTGGATTCTGAACTGAAAGTCGTCGGAAACACCGGACGATCGCTTCAGATCCAGATTCGAGCTCCAGATCGGTTGTATTCTGAGGTGTTCAGATTCAATCCGAAGCTGCAAATCGAACGGCCCCTAATGTTACTCTAACCGCCCAAAAAACACGCTAAAAATTTGGCAACTTTACCGTATAGAGTTTCTGAACCGAAGCTCTTGGCGTTGGATAAATAGGAAGCTTGTAGCCGCCGTATTGCAATCCGAAGACTTCAGATTGCACCACGAACGCATGCGAAATTGGAGCAGACACATCTTTTCTGCCGGACTTTCATTTCGGATCTAATCTGACGTTTTGTAACCGAATATCCCCTAAAAACATCCCCTAAAAGCTGGTATGGCTACAATTTCTGTCCGTGTACCGGAAAACCAACGTCTTCAGTAAGTGATGCAGTACTACAAGTCCTATGTGCGCTCACAAATTTAGGCTCGGTGGAAAATGTATAGAGGTGCTTGTTGGACCTGAAGAGGAAACCTTTATGCTACATGAGACCCTTGTTCGTACCCAATCCAGATTCTTTAATAATGCCATGAGCCGTGAATGGAAGGAATCAGCAGAGCGCCGCATCAGGCTGCCAAGCGAGAGTCCAGACATCTTCTCATTATACCAGAACTGGATATATGCTCGTAAAATCCCTACCGCTCTCAATGAGCCAGGTCGTAAAGGACATGCGGAGTATATTCGACTATCGCAAGCTTATTGCCTCGGCGAGATGTTGATGGACACCACATTTAAAGATGCGATAGTCGACGCTATCATCTCAAAAGCAGTCACTCCAGCTGCGGATGATGATTGTTGGTATCCTGATGGTAAAGCCATTGGCCTTATCTACGACGGCACTCCTAAAGATTCCCCTGCACGAGAACTATTGGTCGCATTCTATCACTGTTGTGGTGATTCAGACTGGATCACGAAGGAGGATGACCTTCCGAAGGACTTCTTAATGGATCTCACTATTGCGCTATTGGATGGCAGGCCAAAGCCGGAGGATCGCTACCCATGGAAACTGTTAGATACGTGTCAATGGCACTCACACGGCAAAGAGACCGCATGCTATAAGGGATGAAAAAATCAGCGTGGGGTTCCGCAACAGCAGCTTTAGCGAGGCGTAAATTGAAAAAGAATTAAGTTTTTGGTCGGGGTATCAGGATATTGATAAAACTGTACGGCCCTTAGTATCAGAGTAACTAGGAGAGTTTATTGGAAAGCAACTTAGTGATCGGTGTTAGCGTATGGGTTTATACTGAGATTACTTCATTGACGTCTGCTGTGAAGAGTAAAGAGCGGTAGAATAATAGATATTAGAAACTGCTGAGGCACATAGAGGTGCTGGATGAATCCCTCACTTTAGATGATAAAGAGCTTATATGATGGATTGGTTTCGTAGCTCTTTGCCATACTCAGGGAGAATACAAATTACAACAAGCTGTTTTACACCTCAATGCCTTGCAGCGTTTTGCGTGGTCTAAGCACCCAGAGTACTTGTAAAAACAAAGACCCAGACACACCTTAAGCCCGTGGGGCGCAATAGGAGCCTTTAGCCTGGCTTGTGGGCTATGACTGCTTAGTATCCAGGGAAGGAATGGTATTTGCTGTTTTGTGAATTGCATCCGACCTAGTGAATCTGAAAATGCAGAGCATAAAAGAATGTTTTACCGTCCCTTTGATACGTATGCTTTTGCTTTCCTACATAAATCGAAACCGTCCCTGGAAGTCGCATCAACCCTAGGGACCTAACCATATCAACAACTCCTCGTAACACTCAACAGAAACCTTTACAAAATTTAGAGTATTTGTGCTGGTCACAACCAACGGTCGAACAATCCGTTCATTCCTAAGGAGTTCAACATGCTGGCGAAGGGCGTCCTACCCACTGCTAGAGACCTGCGTATTTCGATGAATGAAGCAATTAAGTAAGTAATTTCACTTCAAGGGAGTTACTGCCATCTTAGCCTGAATCCTGAATATGGTCTCATTTCTCTAAGGTGGCCGCGTAGAAGACATGCGATTTCTTAGAGCTTTTCATTAAGTGTTGTGCTCGAGATTTGCTCTTCAGGGGCCTCTGAAGTTAGTATATGCTGACGATGGCAGTCTTCATGGCGATACTATCGAAGTTATTGTTGGCGAAGCTCAGTCTGTCTTCCACGTACATGAGGAGCTCGTCTGTGCCCATTCTGATTTCTTCAAAACCGCCATAAAGCCTGAGTGGGCCGAAAGTTATCCTAAGGTAATTCATCTACCGGAAGATGACCCGGTAGCTTTTTTATGCTACATGCAATGGCTCTACTGCAAACAGTTACCAACAAGTAAGGACGACGAATGTCGGCAGCTCGCAAGGGCTTATGCTCTTGGGGAGAAATTACTGGACATTGACTTCAAAAATGATGTCATCGATGCTATGGTCGCGAAGGCCAGTATTTTCGTAGACGGAATAATGAAATTTCCAGGTAGTGATGCAATTGAAGTTCTCTACTATGGAACTCCGGAATCGTCGCCTGCCAGACGTCTTTTCATTGAATTTTGGACGTTTGTGGGAAAAGAGGAATGGATGACTGATCAACCTCCTCCTTACGAGTTCCTAATTGACTTGTCGAAGTCTCTTCTCCGGCAGAGACCACGTCCTCACGGTGACCGTCCATGGATTGGCTTCCCGGAACTATATCATGTGAAGACAGACAAGCAGATTACCGAAGGAAAACCTTAGGGTTCTAGTTTGGGAGCGGTTACATTGTTTGCGGGATTGAATGGAGGACTGGGTATGAGTACAATGACTGCAAGCGGTTGCCTTTTGAGTGCCTTTGAAATCCCACTTGCCTGTAACTACCAGATATCTGGAGATCGTATGATTTGCGGAGTAACTAGAGGACTAGTGTGTTAAGTTAAAGGCATTCCTCCCTATGTTGTTCTCTGCTCGACCGATACACAAAGTCGCTGCGTGCGAAGCAATGCTTAGGCCTAGTATAGTTTGCATTTTATGAATCTTCCCACATATCCTATAATCTAAAACATAATGTGTCCTAAAACTCCGTGGCTATGCCGCTCTGAAGCGTTAAATTTTGAACAATTTTGCTCCTAGGTTACGCCGCAGCTTTCGCAGACTGTTGTTGTAATTGCTGCATTTGCGACTGCTGTTGCATAATCTAGGAAAACCGCTTGTCAGCTATAACTTGGAACGCGGAGGGATGCTCCACACGTACTTCCATCTTGATCTTGTTACTCCTTTCCTCAATATCTGATATCTGCTTCTCGACTCGTTTACTGCAAATCAATTGGTATACCAGGTCTAGAAAACTCTGCCAAAGATTGATTGCCTACATCTCTTTGTTAATGAACTCTAGCCGCCCATCCACAGCCATGACTGCTTCTGTTTTATCTTGCTTTAGGAGCACGGGCCCAATCTGTTTGTAGATGTTCGCATCGTCATCGAGTTTGGCGAATTCCTGTATGTGTCCACTAAGCTCAAGATATTCCAGCTCGGGGAAAGAGCCTGACCTTCTGAACACTTGTATTTTCTTGCTGCTGGGATTCGAGCTTCTGGCGCGCATCAACGGCGGATTGAAGCTCTAGAAATAGTTGTTAGGATTAATCGCTATATTCTGTAACAAGAGAAGTAGAGCATACCGCTCTGAATCTTCTGGAACTCGTCGGACAGATCCTGTAGCTTCTTCTGTGGATCTGCCATGTCGCGTTATGGGGTCAAATTAAATTTTGGTTGCTGCGGCGAAGATCAGAGGCTGCCCTTGGCGACGGCGGGGTGTTGGCGAGCGAAGTGACATCGTTTGGAGGAGCACTCTTGGCCCTGCAGACCCAGGTAACAACCGTCCCACAAGACTCCAACCAAACACTTCCCCGACCTCGTGCCGAACATTTTTTCGCAGAGTAGTTGACCATTTCTGCAACTCTATATCTACGCGCGGAGAATTCTTATATTCTGGTCTTCCGGTGAGGCGCTTCCCCGCTTGCCTCCGTCGCCTAGGCCCTCTACTATTACCACCGCTTGACACAAACAACCCTTGGGAGAGACTCGGGAAAACATCTTCAA